TTTGCTTATTTTGCTTTCATTGCCTATATTTTGGGCATCATGTTTTTGTTTTTTTTTTTAAATAATAGCTGAGAACACTATCAAGAAAGTTTTTTTCCTGTTTTATTCTACTAGTTTTATGATTTTAATTTTTAACTATTTAATCCATTTGCACTGGTCTGTGTAGATCCTAATACGCCTGATTGCTTGTTTGTATGACAAGAAAATGTTTAGGTTTGTAAGAGATTACTTAACTGTCTTCCAAAGTGAATGTACCAGTGTGCATTCCCAGCAGTAGTGAATGAGAATTCCTGTCACTTCACATTCTTGCCAGTGGTGTTGTCAGTGTTCTATATTGTACCCATTCTAAGAGTTGTGGAACAGTATCTTGTTTTAATTTGCATTTCCGTATGACATAACTATAGCATCTTTTGATGTCTTTATTTGCCATCTGTATATCTTCTTTGATGAGGGATCTGTAAAGGTTTTGATCAGGTTGTTTTTTTTATTATCGAGTTTTGAAAGTTCTTTATGTATTCTGGAAAAATCTTTTATCAGATATGCCTTTTAAATTTTTTATTTTCAAATTATTTCCTTTTTAATTGATGAACATAATTTTATATATTTATGGCTTATAATATGCTTTCATATTTATATATACTGTCAGATGGCTAAATCATGTACATTAACATATGTATTGCCTTACATGATTAGTATTTTTCATGATGAGAATATTTAAAATCTATTCTTTTAACAATTTTCAGGTGTAATTAATTATAGTTACCATGTTTTAAAGTAGATCTTTGAGCTTAACTCTTCTTGTCTACATGAAATTTTGAATACTTTGACTACCTTGTGCACAGTACTCCTATAGCTCCTGGTAATCATGATTCTATCTTGTGAGTTAAATACTTTTTAGATTTTGCCAGTAAGTGAAATCATGTGGTATTTGTCTTTCTGTGCCTGTTTTATTTCACTGAATTTGACATCTTCCAGGTTCACCCATATTGTCATAAGTGACAGGATTGTGTGTGTGTGTGTGTGTGTGTGT